TAGTTTTTAAATGTAAAATTAAATTGCGATCTGATTTCCTTCGTCGGATAAATACTTTTATCAATTTTAAGGGTTATTTTCAACCGTGTATTAATTGTTTGTCGATAATTAAGTGTAAAATACATATTGACAATATTATTAAAATAGTTGTATGCCGGACGCCACTGTTTTCCCGATCGGGTGTTTTCGGTTATTTTTACTGCTAAAAGTTACTGCTAACTTCACACCGGTGAAATTTCATCGGTGTTAAGAATAACAATATTACATAAAATGAAACGTATCGAATAAATGCCTATGCAAGGATGCCGTGCTTATCACCAAATATTCTTATGCGACCCAGTCCGACGTATCGTTCTACGAAATATGAGTAGCGCCATTGTATAAGTCAAATCCCTTTTTTAATTAAAATTTTTTTTGAAGATCGTTATGGAAATTTGTGAAACAAAAAAATGGACAAACATGGGCTATAGTCTATTTTTATGTATGGGAGAGTATTAAAATAATAAAGCGTTCGTAATCCATAGGCGTAGCACTTCTTTTAGTAGACAGTTAAAATATTTTTTGAAGTTATTCTTCGAGTATACACTTATATTTTCACCTAATTAACCTGCTTATAACTTCTAAACAGCTGAAGGTAAAAAAGTGCAATTTTTTATAAAATGTTTTATTTTTCCACAAGGTATGGTAAGAACATTGTGTCAAACGGGTTATGTAGGTATAAGGCTTTAAAATTTGACTTTTAAACAACGTTACGTTCATAAATAATAATTTTAACATAAAAACTACTTCCTACCTACAAATCCAAATCAGAATCGAAATCAGAAGATGAACTGTCGCAACCTATATTTACAATGAATGGCTCGATCATTTCATCAGTAATATTGTCCAACTTCCACATTTTCTCTTCTTTTTTAATCGTATGATTTACTGCCTTTTCCCAGTTTTCAGGCTTCACATTATTTACAGCCTCCAAAAACAACTGTTTAACATCACTCATTTTAAAAGAATTATTTTTTCTTGAAACTTCTCCCTTTATCTGTGCCCATTACTGCCGATATCAGTTCAATCGGGTTTACTTCGCAATGATATGGTGGTGATCTAACCACCGTCATCCCACGATTTTTTGCAATTTAATCAATTATGTATTTTTTGAATTTCTCTTTATGAAGGGAACACAAATGATACAATTCTTTTCTCACAGAACCGGGATGGAACTTAATATTCTTTGAATTTAGCCAATTCTGTAAATCTTTTTTTAACCACCTTTAACAAAACCATTTGAACTACCGATGTGTACTATTATTAGTCTGCGCCCCTTTCCTGATGGTCGATTTAAACCAGTAGATAAATTATTTAAAAAAGCCCGTCTTCGACTTGTAACAGTTTCATCTTGCCAAAATTTATTTGGTTTATGTTCCTCGTTGATCCATGTTTCATCTAAATAAAATATATTTCTTCTTTGGTTTCTCATTTCTTTTATAGTCCTTAGGTAATTTCTTCTCCATACTACAATATCGCTTCTTTCTATTAAAATAGACTTTCTGGAATGCTTTTTCCATAGAAAACCTATTTCTTTTAAAAGTTTCCATAGTGTGCTTCGACTCATTTCAGGGTAATCCTTATCATCTCGAACCATGGCAAGAACTTTGTCTACTGTCGGAAATTCTTTTCTAAAGATGAACGCATGCACTTTCCTTCGAAGTCTCTCTTTCAAAAGATTTTTTAATTGAAATTTTGGTTTTCCTGGAGCTTTACGTGCTGTTTGAAACTCGCCACATTTCTCTTCTTTAACAACTCTGTAAATCGTAGATTTCCCAACACCAAGCGTACTACTAACTAATTCCACTGTGTCATCAATATTTTTACATAAATGTTTGTCTGTAAATGATTTAAAACAATTAAATATTAGTGTTTTTTCATTAACTGTTAAAGGACCGATTTTTTGTCGTTTACGCGGCCCTTCCAAATTTTCCATGATCACACTAGAATTCACACTGCACCTTGCAAGTTGCAACTAAACGACAGTTAGTAAACTGTCAAGAATACACAACTTGGACCTCCTTACTAAATGGAAAACCTATAATCGCATTTTCGGTGAAATTTGTTGGGAAGGTATTTATCTACTTATAATTCGATAACTGTAAGAAATTCTTGGAATTAAAATAAAACAAAATTGGCAAATAGGTACTTATTGAAAATAATCTTAAGATACGGCTATGTAATCTTTAATACACAGGGCTTTTGGCCTGTCCAAACCTTTTTCTATTGTTCTGTACAGCTTATGTTTATAAAGGACCAATAAAAGACCCAAAACTTGTAATAGCTCAGGTACATTTATTACAATTTTAGGAAATATTTAGATTATTCTGTAAAAATATTTAAAATGACCGTACTAAGTTTTGCATTAGAAATGCTGTTTTATTACGCTCACGGTGGGCTTGAACATGATTTAAATGCGAAGTTCTAGCACCACCGATTTTCCTTCGGCATTAGATTCCCAGAGTCATAAGAAGGCTGAAAAAAAAATTCCACCGTAAGCCTTAGAGCCGATTGTGAAAAAAATCTACTTTTTTCAATGAATAATGCAAAGATACAAAAATAGGCATTTTTGGACTTGGAACACGCTCAATTTGGTAAAAATGTGATATCCAAACTTTCTTTCGAGGCGAAACACCAAGTACAGGGAAAGCTACTGGCACGAGACATACCAATATGTTGGCCAGTTTTAAATCGGTCGCAATTGTGTCGGCAAAATCATTGATCTGTAAGAGAGACCATAACATTCTCACATTTTCATGGTTTTCTTGTGTACCTGCAATTATTGCCAGAACAAATAATTTTTTGACTCCGGAATCCTTGAATCTTTTAGCCCCTGCGCCATCTATATATATTTTTGTCGACCGTCTATTATAGCAGAATCACGTTCTTGCACTGAAAGGCAAATCTTGAGAAAACCTTCCCCACTATCAATGCCAAACTTCAAATAGGGATTATCATTGTTTCGAGTTGTTTTTATACAATCGATTAAGTTGGAATATCTGTACAAAATGCCAATATTTCTGTAGAGGTCGTTTTCTCGCCAGCTTTTGATTTTATTATGGGGCAACTTTTGAAATCAAAAAATTGTGGCGGTGTGTAGAAAGTTTCGTCTTAAGATTTGGTTCAAACAGGTTTCTTTTTTTTGGGAGCCAACGCGTAAGTCTCTTGCTATGCTCTGAACTAGATTGCTGGAGAGGTCGTAATTTGTGGCTTTTTACAAACATCTCCCGCGGAAATTTGTTGCGGGCCTATAGTTTGATTTTTTAGTTTCTGGGTAATTTCAACGTTGAGTGGCTTTCCATAAATCTGAGATAATGGAGCGGTTTTATTGCTCGAGCTGCGAGAATTTGTGTCTTCATTTAAAACTATGTCCTTTATTAAAGAACACGCCAAATGTTCTCTCTGTTTCAGGGAAAGCGAGTTACTTACATGTTTTTTGAAACTTGGGGAGTGTTTTTCTGGGATACAAAAATGTTTTTTCCCTACCGAATAAGTTTCACCACATTTTTTTTTTGCACTTGTTGCTCCTCTTCTTTTCGTTCTTGTCATTTTTTTTTTTTTGGTGAAGGTATATGGCCCTGGATCTCGTACCAATTCACACAATGTGCAACTGCACAGCGTTTGAGTTTTTGCCCGAGTATTTTTCTCCAAAATTTTGAACTTTGTATAGTCCGGCAGAGCTATTTTCTCGATAGTTTCACACTTCACTGACCGATATACGATAATTTTGCAATCGCTACATAAAACATTGGGAAAACGTTCATCATGTTCAGCATAATTCACACATTTTTTAAATTCACACATAATGCACCACTGATTTTGACCATTTGATTCTTCTTCTACAGACAGAGAAAACATATGAGCGCCCGATTTTTTTGATGGGTCCCTGCATATTCCTTTGATCTTCTGTCCATACTTTCCCAAGAAAATAAAATTTCGAAGAGAACAAATACAACTTCACCTCGAAGGGTCGAAGACTATCTGAAGTTTTAACTAATTGCACAAATAACATTGATCATTCGATCTCCAGTATAACAAAACGTAGATAAAGGATCGGGGGTGGGGGTTGGTGATAGTTCGATGACCCCGCAAATCAGACAAGGATGGAAATAAAAGATATAATTCTCGCTTTCTAGCTTACTAACGTAAAACTCATTCGAATGAAAAATCATTCTTTAAAATTTTTCTATTTTAACCTGTTCCTGAGAATCGCCAAAGAGTATCTCCAGTCTTAGTAAAAGGAGCAATTTCAAAAATATGCTTTGTAAATGTTTGTGTGCTAGTGTAAAACTGATAGGAAAACATAATTTATGCCAAATTGGGGATGTTTGGCAACTAGAAGTGAGCAAAAGGTACAAAAATCTCGATATCTCGAACACTGAATCTTTTCTCGTGAAAAAAGTCGTTTTTTTCGAAAACAGCTCTAAGGCTTACGGTGGATTTTTTTTTCTAGTCTTTTTATGACTCCAGAAATCGAATGCAGAAAGAAAATCGGTGGTGCAAAAACTTTGCATTTAAATCATGGTCAAGCCCACCGTGCGCTCTCATACATAAAAATAGACTATAACGAAGGATTATGTAATGCAGTTATCATATTGCATTTTTGTGAATATTTTTTGTTTTTTTTTTATTTTCTCTAATTTTTTTTTTCTGAAAAAACTAATTTATTGGCAAACGTGAAATGCTATTATGCCGTGAAATTAAATTATGAAAATTTTAACTTTTGTCTGGAAGTGGGCCCGCGAAAATTACTTTCGATATATTGTGAAAACAGGGTGGGCAAAAAAAGTTATTTCATGGGCAATAATGGGCAAACGATGGGCAAACCTCTTACACATTTTTGACACTTTTTTGCAATGTTCACAGCCTACACAGAGTGTTGTGCTTTAGAAAGATCAGTTATCTTCTTTTATTTGTTAAGGTATCAATAAACAAATTACCAAAATTCGTAATATTTCTAGGTAATGGATTGGATAAAATCTCCCGTCAAATTGGCCGATTTCCAGACAGAATCCGAACAAGATGATCCGGCTAACTGCGACAAAACAAAATGCATTGTCAAAAAAGGCAAGGAAGATCGTAATTTCAACATTTGTACGGAATGTCCCAGCGTCTATCCATGGATCGGCAATCCAGATGGAAATTAAACAAGAACAAAATTGGGCTATTATATAATTTAAAACTATTTACATAAAAATATAATATTTTAAGATTTAATTGATCGTTTTTGTTTTAATAATTATTAGTTTATATTTTATTCAAGCCACTGGATTTTTTTTAAATAAAATAATACGTCTTTTATTCAAATATAAACATTCACCAAATTAAACACTTATTCACTTCTTATAAAATGTATTAATACCAAGAAAGTTATTAACAATCATTATTAATTAAAATTTAGAGAGCGTCGAACGTGTGCATATGAACCCACGTCGATCATAAGTGTCTTTTCGATTTTTCGGTCTTCTACTCGTCGAGCGCGTATGCGTGTGTATCCAAGATCCAAGTATGGCTTAGGCAGTGGCGGCGTCTTGAATATTGCACGAATCTAACACGGCCGGACTGACCAGTGTTTCGTTCTCGAAACTCCTATCATCGGACTTCGGCTCCTCTGCATCTATAATACATCAACAACTTAGTAATCTCAAATTAAATAAATGTAACTGCTTTTTATACTTTTAGCAGTTACCCATCATGGAAGTATGCTGACTCCATGCTACAAGGTATTGTTTCAACCTTGGAAAACGGTATAATTTCAACCCTGGAAAACGGTATAAGTTCAACCTTGGAAAACGGTATAATTTCAACCTTGGAAAACGGTATAATTTCAACCTTGGGAAACGGTATAATTTCAACCTTGGGAAACGGTATAATTTCAACCTTGGGAAACGGTATAATTTCAACCTTGGGAAACGGTATAATTTCAACCTTAGGAAACGGTATAATTTCAACCTTGGGAAACGGTATACTTTCAACCTTGGGAAACGGTATACTTTCAACCTTGGGAAACGGTATACTTTCAACCTTGGGAAACGGTATACTTTCAACCTTGGGAAACGGTATACTTTCAACCTTGGGAAACGGTATACTTTCAACCTTGGGAAACGGTATACTTTCAACCTTGGGAAACGGTATAATTTCAACCTTGGGAAACGGTATACTTTCAACCTTGGGAAACGGTATAATTTCAACCTTGGGAAACGGTATAATTTCAACCTTGGGAAACGGTATAATTTCAACCTTGGGAAACGGTATAATTTCAACCTTGGGAAATACAATTTATTAAGGACCATGGAAAGGAAAGGATTAACCTTGGAAAACATTTACTTTACTTTCAGTTTCAAAAAATTGAGTCTTGCAAATCAGCCACTAATGATAACCCGCTCGGCCAAAGCCTGACTTATTTAACATTTTTCGGACGAAATTTTTATCAACGTCTCTATTTTTCTCTACTCCGATCTACCATCTTCGGCGGAGATCTTTCATCCAAGAAAATCAATTTTTTTTGTAAAAACATTTTCAAATAATTAGGAAAAACGATGCTTTTTCTAAAGCTACTAAAAGTTGCTTAAAATAAATCAAACCCTGTGAAACAATTTTGCTAAAAGTCGACATGGCAATAAAATTATTAATTAAATTAATTTCCATAGCACAGTTGTTTACTGCAGAAACAGAAAAACTAGTAAACCACAAATTGTAGTAATTTTTATTTTTATTTTAATAATCTGGCATAATTCAACTCGATATTGTTCAAGTACTTTTTATTGATTTAAACTAATTCCAAAATCCACGGAAATTTTTAAAACACCCGGTAACTGTCGCTTTATAATACGTACCATACGCGTCATTATAATCGGTAACATAAATATTAAACGTGTACCTAGACTTAGCTGGCTTGCCTGTAATTTTAACATCTGTTCCGAACTTATATTTTGAAATAAACTGTCTGGAGTTATGCCCATAGAAATTTCCTGTAAATTAACCCGGGCTGTTCAATAAACCCATATCGGTTGATTAATGTTTATTTTCGTAGGCACACTCTTTCTTTCTCATAAAATAAAGTTTACGTTGCGTCTTTTGTCAATGGAATTCTTAACAAAACAAGAATCAATCGTGTGACCTGACTTTAAACAAAAGTTACTTTTATTACTTTTAAGAGAGTTATTTTTTTGTTATGGTTTCGTTCTGAGTTTGGTTAACTGACTTAAAAAATGAATTATTTTTTAATGGCTTATCTCGCTTGAAATGCTGCGAGACATTACGTAAAGGACAGTGGCGTTTCTGATGCCCTATACGCCCGCATTTAAAGCAAGATAAATTTGATTTGAATTGTTCTGATTTTTCCAGGTGCTGAAAGCGATTGATTTTTTTCAGAACTAGAATTAGAAATATTTGTCACAGCTAAGGGTTTCGTGACAGTACCCAAATAGGAAATAAAATCTGAAGTTAAATCAAAATTTCGCATAGTTACAGACTCTTTGTACTTTAGTATCATGAATACCATAAACAATCAATTCATTTAGGTCAGAACACGTAATTTTTTTAACAAAGCCAAAACTTCTTGTGAACATAAGCTACATAAGAACTAAAGAGTGAGCTGTCAAAAGAAGAGATTACAATTTTCTCTATTAAAATTACTCTAACAAGTTCAAATTTAAAATTACATTTTTTTTTTCAACGAAGCAACCTTTTTTGTTTTGAACATAAAATGTATACAAATTAGGTTGAGCTGTCAAAGGTAGAGACTTCAAAAAATAATCGTCAAACAATTTTCTATGTGAAAATGACTGAATGAAGTTCAAATTTAAAATTATTATTTTTTTTTTTTTTCAATAAAGCAGTCCTTTTTTATGCACGTAAGCTGTATAAGATTTACAAAGTGAGCTGTCAAAATAAGAAACTACCATTTTCTGTGTGAAAATGACTCTTAAAAGTTCAAATTTAAAATTAAACCAATCTCTTAATGTTGGAGACCAATTCTCAAACCATATTTTTCTTTTTAGCATCGCCCAATAAAAAGCGTTCAACTCTTACCTGTATCTGCAGGTCTTACCACTCAAATTTCTCTTTATCTTTTCGAACTGTTGTAACCAAACCTTAGAATTGTCGGTATCTAACCAAAATAAGAGCAAATCAACTTGTTCTGGAGTTGTCCTGCTGTTATTGGAACTGTGCAACATCTCTGCGATGAAATCATCCATGATACAGGAGTTGTTCTGCTGTTTTCGGAACCATTCAACATCTCTGCGATGAAATCATCCATGATACAGGAGTTGTTCTGCTGTTTTTGGAACTGTGCAACATCTCTGCGATGAAATCATCTTTGATACACTTGTTTTAGTCTGTGTGTAACGTGAACACTATCCCACTTCTGATTTAAGATTTAATTGTTCGTTTTTGTTTTAATAATTATTAGTTTATATTTTATTCAAGCCACTGGATTTTTTTTAAATAAAATAATACGTCTTTTATTCAAATATAAACATTCACCAAATTAAACACTTATTCACTTCTTATAAAATGTATTAATACCAAGAAAGTTATTAACAATCATTATTAATTAAAATTTAGAGAGCGTCGAACGTGTGCATATGAACCCACGTCGATCATAAGTGTCTTTTCGATTTTTCGGTCTTCTACTCGTCGAGCGCGTATGCGTGTGTATCCAAGATCCAAGTATGGCTTAGGCAGTGGCGGCGTCTTGAATATTGCACGAATCTAACAATATGATCAATTTTTGCGTTTTATTTCCTGATTTACTTGACTATTATTCTTAAAATAGTAGGGAAAATGGGGTCTAGAATTTTATTGTAGAGAAATAATGTATTGTATAAATAAAAGAGGAGTGCAGTAAAAGTGGGTATTGAAATTAAATTAGATCCAAATTATTAGAAACTATAAAATACAACTTAAAAAAAACAAAATCACTTAGAAGGGGGACGAGGGCACAAGAATAAATAATAAACAGAAGGATATCTCCGAGCACGTGATCTTCGAGGGCTCGTGACCTTCAAGCACACCTTTTTCCATTTTTCAATTTCAATTTATTAACTATTTTTCATGTATAAAGACATTTTGAATTTTGATCTTTTCAGAGAGGTAATGATGGTAGCTTCGGTGGGGGGGGGGGGGGGTGAGAATCAGTTAATAATTTATGGTTAAATTATCTTAAATAAATTCTAACAGCTGTTATTATCATGAGAACATCAGAAATATATAAGGATGATTGAGTATATACTTTTTTACTTCTATTTTGTATGTTTTATATATTTTTATTTCTTTTATATGTTTAGGTAGTACATTAAATAATTTCGGCCCAAAGAAAAGAAAGGAGTTCCGAGTAACAGTTTTTTTAAATAAATCTGTTGTTACATTTAGATTCAGTTTAGAACGTCTTTCTTTTATGTTTTGTTGAGGGCATTTAATTTGTTGGTCAAACATTCTTAGGAGACATTGGTAAATATAACTTGACCTAATAATTTATTAAAAGCAATCAATGAAAAAAATAACATTTATAGAGAAGTTCAAAAAACCCTATAATGAAGAATTGTATAAAAATTATAAAAAGATAAGAAATAAAACTCATGCTTTAATAAAAAAAACCAAATATAATTTCTACAGTAAAAAAATCGATGGTAATAAAAACATTTGGGAAGTCATTAAAGAAATAAGTAAAACAAAACTAAATAAACATTCTATAGAAAAACTTAAAAAAGCAAGTTCAGGGGAAATATTAACTAAAACTATTGATATAGCTAATGAATTTAATAATATGTTCGTCGACACTGGAAAAAAATTGGCAAATTCTATAAAACAAGATCCAAACTTCAACCCTAAAAAACATACTCCCTAAAATTCATTTGTTTTCTAGCCCATCGATATATCTGAAATAAAACTTGCTATTAGTGAATTAAAAAATAAAAAATGGGTCGGTTTAGATAATTTGAAGGCTGAAGTGATTAAAAAAGTGACACTTTACATAATTGAACCACTCAAATACATATTGAACAAAAGTATAGTTGATGGTGTTTACCCAGACGTTTTTAAATATTCGGTTGTTACTCCGTTATATAAAAAAGAAGATGTTACTGAGCCCTCTTATTATCGACCGATATCATTAATAACAAATTTATCCAAAATTTTTGAAAAAATTATAAAAAAACGA